AGTCTGCAGGTCTTAACCAGGGTGCAAACTCCCACAAGGCAATCCTGAGTCAACACGATTCGCAACTCATTGCAAGTGAAGTCTGTTCACATCCATCAACTCAAGCGACTCACGCAACTACTTATGTGTAGCGCAAGGTTAGTTGACTTCGGTTCAACGATTTGTCACCACTCGCTAGTAGGTTGGAGGCCATTAGCTGTTCGTTTCAACGGTTTTTCACCACACTCGGTCCCAAAATGTCTCAAGCATCTGCGCTTGGACCGGTAAGCCAAGCTGCTGCTCCGGTGTATACTTGGTGGTGGTCAGGGTGGTCCCGTTGCTATCAGGATATGTGACATTGAAGGGAAATTGGCCTTGGCATCTCGTCAACGGCGCACTACTTGTTACTAGTAGTAATGCCCTTGTTACTAGTAGCTTCTTGTTACTAGTAGTAAGGCACTTGTTACTAGTAGCGATGCACTTGTTCCTAGTAGCTTCTTGTTAACAGCAAAACTTAACACTCGATTCCTAATTGATGCTTTCCGACATGGTGCGGTTTTCCCACACTCAAGAACCCTCACGATCCACATTTGTTTGCGCTTTTTGATCGAATTCTGCTTGGGTGCAATTTTCATCGCATCGGATCCAAAGCTCCTGGCTAAGTGGTGAGGATTTCAGTGCATTGGTGCAACATCGCTTCTAGGTGGGAGGCCATCGCTAGTAGGTAGATCTAATTTCTATTGTATTAATGATCTATTCAATTCTCCCTTGAGGGTGAGGTAATTGGCAGCCTTCAGCCCTATTATACAGGAGAAATGTGTGGCTGCTAGGCTAGGCTTCCCTTCAGGGCTTCCCTTCAGGAATGGACCTCACTCACTTCAAACAGCAACGCTTTTGGCTCACCACAACAGGTCATTCCAACACAGCAACTGCTCTGAGCACCGCTCTACGCTCCTCCGTCCATGGTTGTCCGTCATCAGAGAGGATGGCCAGCTCTTGAAGGTAGCCCGTCTCGGATGACCAGGTCCCGACTTCGGCACCTCATGGATGAGGTGTCGGAAAAGCGGTATGAAGTCTCCAGGGCATCAGCACTGCTCTGTGCTTGCAAACATACAGCCATGTTTGAACTAATACCATGATACTCCATAGACTAGTAGCAAGGATGCTATTATATAGGTGGCGGCCATCGCAAGTAGGTTGGAGGCCATCGCTACTAGTAACAAGAAGCTACTAGTAGCAAGGGCGTGCCCAAAACCCCTTGGAGTTTTGGACTCCTGGCTACAAGAATCGCGTTCTGAAGTAAGAACAGTCACATCTCAATCCCTGTCGCCTACATCCTAAAATTAAAAGAAGAGGAATGAAACATAATAATAATAATAAACTTCACCATAGATTATGAATTATTAATGCTATAACTTATTAATGCTGTAAGAACTTAATTGACAAGTTGTCCAAAATATTATAACATGGTGAATAAAATGACTACAACACCAATAAATAAATATAAAGAATGCAAAGTAAACACTGGCCTGACCCTGTGTGACTCAAGGCAAGATGCTTCTAGAAACAAGTGCCTCACTACTAGTAACAAGTGCCTTACTACTACTAACAAGAAGCTAGTAGAAACAATACTAAAGATTCTCTTCTTGTGCCTAGTAGCTTCTTGTTACTACTAGTAAGGCACTTGTTACTACTAGCTTCTTGCTTCTACTAGTAAGGCACTTGTTACTACTAGTAAGGCACTTGTTACTAATAGCTTCTTGCTTCTACTAGTAAGGCACTTGTTACTACTAGTAAGGCACTTGTTTCTAATAGCTTCTTGCTTCTACTAGTAACTAGTAAGGCACTTGTTACTACTAGTAAGGCACTTGTTTCTAATAGCTTCTTGTTACTACAGCAGTCACATCTCGGCCTGACCCTGTGCGACTCAAGGCAAGATGCTTCCTTCACCAATGCAGTCGGCTGCACAGCAAAGCCCTGAATTGAGTTCTTTCCGTGTGCAGAGCCTGACCAGGTCAGTCTCTTCTCAAGAAGGTGGATCAACCTCATCACTTTTTGCCACCTAGTAGCTTCTTGCTACTAGTAGTAATGGCCTCCAACCTAATAGCGATGGCCTCCAACTATAGTAGCTTCTTGTTACTAGTAGTAAGGCCAGGAGCCCCTAGTAGCGTCCTTGCTCCTAGTAGCGATGCCCTTTGTTCCTAGTAGCTTCTTGTTACTACTAGTAAGGCACTTGTTACTAGAAGCCTCATGCCAGTCAGCTGACAGGTCATCTCCGCATCCTTGTGGCTTTGAGGCTGTAAACCTGAGCCAAAAACACTCTTGGGCCATTTGGCTGGCGGTATGCTTCGACAAGGATCTGATGACCCACTGTGCGTGGTGTTTGGCCCAGGCACATGTTCCAAACAATGGATCGGGCGTTGTGGTCTCCAGCTGCACCTCAATATGAACGCTACTACACTCTGCTACACTCTATGACTCTATCCCTGTGTTTGCACGCAAAGGCATCCAAATGCAGGAACAATCTTCATTTTGGTGATCCCAAGAATTGAGCCCTCCAAAGACTTTCAGGCAGACTGACGTCAAATTGCGAGTCTGAGCTGAGACACCCATGGACCCCAACCAGTCCAATACGAAGGCTGAGTGGTTGTGACCTGCACGGAGAAGCAAACAACAAACACTCAAGATACAAGTACGTACGATGGACTGGGGAAAATGTTCAACAACCTGGGGAAAACACTGAATGAGTGGAATCCATGGCTGCATAACAAAACATTTAGTGCCTAGTGACTAGTGCCATTAAACAAGAAGCAGCTTTGCATGCGCTTTAATTACCTGGAAATCATTCGTCAAGGTTGCAGCCAGCTTCTTATAAACCAAAAGCAAATTGATCATGTCACATGTCTGACTCGCGAAGAGAAGTGGAAGAATCAATGACGCCGCAAGAAGTAGTCGCCTGGCCGTAGCGAGGCCCTTCACAACTGGAGCCATCCATAGCACAGCAAAAAGTGAGGCGATCCTCACCTCAGTACCCAATTTGCTTCATGCGTTGCGGCAAACCTGAGCAGTTTCACAATAGCATTGGCCTCCACCTCAATAGTGACGGCCTCCCACCTAGCGATGGCCTCCAACCTGCTGTGTAACTGAGGCTAGGGCTCTCCTCCGCCATGTGCCCTTTGATCTGACGACCCTCCTCAGTCACCACTCGGGCTTGGCTTGGCTTGGGGCTTTTGGATCCACGGACGACGAGTTCGCTGAACCAAAGAGGTGACACGGTGACCAGAATTCCAACAAGATGCAGCTTGGCAGGAATCTTCAACCCAGTAGTAACCGGTCTTCGCGGAAGCATTCAAGTTGACCTCAGCTGGCCAGGGTTCTCAACTGGAAAACGCAGTGTAACGTATTGGACATAATATTGTTCCTCAAACAGAACACTTCATTCCTGTTTTATGCGCCACCAGTCTAAGGTTCCTAAGGAGGAAACAAGCCAGGGGACGGTAAAGCTCCGCCCGGTGCCTTCGGCATGACATGCAGCGACCTCCAAGGAGTTTCCATCGTGCTGCACCAGCTTCACACCTCGAAGGTCACTGGAATTTATTCATTGCTCTTAGGTTGGAAGCCACCGCCACTAGGTTGGAGGCCATCGCTCTTAGGTTAGAGGCCATCGCTGGTAGGTTACTTGTTTGATTTCATTTGGACCTCACAGCACTTCTGAGATGGCAACGACTTCATTGAGTAGAAGAATATATTAATTAGAAGGGAATAAAACGACAATAAAGTTGGCGGACGACTGAATTTCAATCTTAACTACTTTTTGTAAGTCCTATAGAACCAAAGATGATTGCTCTGGCTGGTGCGTGAGGGGGTACTGTCAAGCTGATCCCTCGGCCTGATGCTGGGTTGGCACCGATGAAGATCTCAAATTCGACGCAGCTCACATTGCTCTGGACCTCTTCCTCAGCTGAAAGCAGACATTTAAGTGCTGCTGTAAGGGAGTCTCAAAGGGGTCTCCAACCTTCTTGGAAGAAACAAAAAGAAGTCCAAACAAACACATGGAGAACTTGATTGCTGGTTGCGGTGGTCTTGGCAAGTTTGTTCTGTCACATATTATCAATTTTCCTTTTCTTGGATTCCTCCTGGATGCTACGAGTACAGAAAGATCCCTACCCAAAAAGTATGGGGAAACTCTTTGAACCCTTTGTGAGACAGCAACAAGGCAAAGGGACCTCTCGCAAAAGCCGTGAAACAACGGGCCTCAAGCCATGGTTGAAGCCCTAAAGACTAGAGTTTTGAAACTGTGAACATGATGTTTTCCGCATCCAACCACTCTTCCAACGTAGAGCAAATAAAAGTCTCGCTTTAAGAGGCTCCTCTCCGAATGCAAGCTGGGCCAAGCTAAAGCCAAGCTTCAAGCTCACAAATAATGTTTGTGGCGTTGGCGCTCTTCACTTCACATGGGTCCTCTCCAACAGTGACCTAAGATTTCGGATTCTCGACACATCGCGTCAGACGAGGAACCAATAACCACAAACCGTCTCTGCCGAGCAGCGATATTCTTTGTCAAATCAGTGTCAAAGGTAGATCCTCTGATGTGTACAGGAGCACCATTGAGGATGCCAGAACGGCCTCAATCCGTCAGTGCAAATCTTAAGCATGTGGGCGTCATTGCGCATGCTGCATGACATCAAAGCAAATATTTGCAAGTAGGCTGGAGGCCATCGCTAGTAGGTTGGAGGCCATTCCTATTATATCCTATTTCGTTTATGTTTTTCTGTATTACTTTTTTGCTACTTCTGTGCTTCCCAAGTTCGTGCATGTTCACTCTTTGGTCATCTGACAAAGGTGTTCCTTGCCTGGACGGATACCCAGGATGTCAGGATAAATTGCAAGATCCTCAGTGACACAACAGCCGTCGGGCCGTGCATTAAAATTCAAATTAATAGCAACCATTGTTACTAGTAGTAAGGCACTTGTTACTACTAGCGTGGCACTTGTTTCTAATAGCTTCGACTTTCCAAGGCTCATACGCTTGAAAGTTCGGTTGCAGGAAGGCCGATGCTTTCTGGGCAGTTCCTTGCCAGGTCCGAAAGACGGCGTTCCCATAGCCCTCCGACGTGCTGTAATCGATACCTTGGAGCGGCTGGGACGTGAATGGCCAGGACAAAACAAAGACGTTGGGGTTGTCGACAGCTGGCGCCTCCAACCTACTTGCGATGGCCTCCTTCCACAAGTTGAACGCATGTTTAAAACGGTTCAGCAATCATGCAGCATCAAGAAGCCAACGGACTCCAATTTGACCCCACCCAGCATGCACAATCCGTTCTCCTGCTGAATACATCCTTTGGATTCAGTGTGCCAACGGCCAAATTTCGCTATTGGTAACAATTGCATTACTACTAGTATAGGAGCAAGAAGCTACTAGTAGCGATGCACCTCGCTACTAGTAGCAAGGACGCTACTAGGGTCTCCAGGCCTTACTACTAGGAGCATTCTTGCTACTAGGAGCAAAGGGCATCGCTACTAGTAGCAAGGACACTACGAACGTAGCTAAGTGCCTTGGAGCATCTCTGAGCCCCACAACCGCACAAACCACTTTGACCAAGCAACATGGGTAGTGGGCACATCGGGGATCGTCGTATCCAACCGCTAGTGAACGGATCTGCAGAGTTGCCAGGCTTGGACCAGCCAAGTCCAAAGCACAGTTCAAGGTTCTACTCCTGGAACGCAAGTCAGGAAGAAGAAACCTTCTTTGTAAAAAGATACATTAAACATGTAATACGTACTGAAACGATTCAGTTTAATAGTTTACTTGTGTTCAACTTGAGGGTTCAAGCCTCAAGAAAACTGGACTCACGACACATAGTGTGCTTACATGTGGTTCCCTGACACTCACCTCCCAAGAGCCAAATTGGACTGATGATTTGCTGCTTTGACCAGAAATAAAGCACAACTAACCAACACACAAATAGCAATGGCCTCCAAAAACAAAGAGAGTAAAGAACAAAACAAGAAACATATGCAAACAAGTAATTATATAATAGGATATAATAGGAATGGCTACTAGCGAGTGCCTCCAACCGGACAAACCAAACAAAAAGCGGTGTCTCATCCTGCAGCTTAGTGCGGTTGAGTGTCTGTACAAGCTCATCTGAATTCTCTACTTGACGTGCACTTGCATCACAAATATATCCACCAATCTCCACCACAGCGCCTCAGATCACCCAACCTTTGTCACGAACATGCCTAGAAGATCCAACAAGTCACTAAGTCTTAGTCTTATCACTGCCATTCAGACTTCGATCCGCTTCGACCTTCCAAAAACCGAACAAAACACCATCGGCGAGCGCTCCGAATCCGCTCCGCATCCGCTCCCTCGGCGCTCGGCTCGTTCCGCTCGTTCCGCTCGTCCCAGCGGCGATCCACGGCGGTCACGCCCGGTCCCAGGGCGCCCGTCTGGGCGGCGCCAAAGGCGACTTGGTCGCCGGCGCGCAGCGCGCGGGTGGAGATCCACGAGATGAAAGGGGTCTTCTCCTCAGGTCGATCTGCGGAAAGTCTGTGTCAACAGTCAACGATTCAGTTTTGAACACGACATGCTTGATGCATGGATTGAGGAATGTTCAGCAAGGTCCGAGGTGCCTCCGCGAATTGGAAGGTGCAGCCCTCGCAGGCCGGCTCGCAAGGCCCAGCTTCTGAAAGCCTCCCAGGTATAGAGAGGAACAACCTAATAGCGATGGCCTCCAACCACAGAGCATCCTTGCTGATGCCCTTTGTTCCTAGTAGCTTCTTGCTCCTAGTAGTAAGGCCAGGAGCCCCTAGTAGCGTCCTTGCTCCTAATAGCGATGGCCTCTAACAAATGTCTGCAGTGCCACCGTTTGGAGTCACCCTGCTCCACTGAATTCTTAATCCTCCCCGCACAACTGATGCGGGTAAGTGTTGGTGGGTTACGCTTTGGACTTGACAGGCTGAAGTTTCGGTTGACTTCTTCCCATCGAGACGTTCTGACAACTAGGAACAAGAAGCTACTAGGAACACGTGCATTGCTAGTAGTAACAAGTGCCTTACTAGTAGTAACAAGAAGCTAGTAAAAACACTGATTAAGTAATTCTTAATTCTAATAGCTTCTTGTTACTACTAGTAAGGCACTTGTTACTACTAGCGATGCACTTGTTACTAATGGCTTCTTGTTACTACTAGGAACAATGTTCACAATTTCACCTCCTTCAGGGCTGGAGCTTCAGGAAGCCCCGTTGAACAGTGCACCACACTGCTCGGTCACTGCACCTGAGACATGCCAGGTAGGGCGCAGCGCTTTCCGCCGGCCCCGTCTCGCACAACAGCCTCTCTGCCGAGGCCTCTGGGCATCTCACGAACAGCATCTGGGAGAGCTTGAACGTTGTCAAGCCATCGAAAAGGGAAGCAGGGATAAAGAAACAAAAGGAAGAAAAGGAAAGCATGTGGATGGAAACAGTTTTGCTGCTCTGTGGAGGCTCAGACTTAAACTACACCGCATCTGTTTATTCAACCTACTAGGGGCTCCTGGCCTTACTACTAGGAGCAAGGACGCTACTAGCTGGATAACCGTTCTTGATAAATATGCCTTTTGCATCACCTGTGCACCAAACGATGTGCTGATACTGTGTCAAGACAGTGTTCAGCCGGGTCCTCGATGATCGTGCATTGAGAGTTTCCAAAATGCACCTCAGCAAGGCAATCCAAACGTCAGCCCAACTACTAGTAGCGTCCTTGCTCCTAGTAGCGATGCCCTTTGTTACTAGTAGCGTCCTTGTTACCATGTATCTTCACCGAACTGCAACTTCACATCACCTACCATTGCAAACCTTACATGACTGACATTTGCACGCATTGGGCCAAGTTGCGGTCTGAGGACCTGGGTGAGACGGAAATGGATGTTTCGCTCAGATTTGCAAGCGGCGACCATAGCAAGGCCCTTGTTACTAGTAGTTTCTGGTTCCGTTCGTAGTAAGGCCAGGAGCCCCTAGTAGCGAACATTGCTCCTAGTAGCGATGCCCTTTGCTCCTAGTAGCTTCTTGTGAAGAACCTTTTTCGCAATCATATTCAAGTCGCTAAGTTCTAGCAACCAAATGCTTTTTCTATCGGTCTATCCACCCTCCACATGATGAGCAAAGAAAACAACATGAACATACGTGAACAATGGTGCTATAATATGTTAATTGCCCCTTGCCACAACAGCCTCAGGGAATCAACTAGTTAGTTACTCCTTACCAATTCCATCTAATTCCAATGACATGAATAGTAGAAACATCTTCATCTTGAAACAAGAAGCTACTAGGGGCTCCTGGCATCGCTACTAGGAGCAAGGACGCTACTAGGGGCTCCTGGCCTTTCTACTAGGAACAAGAAGCTACTAGTAACAAGAGCTAGAAACTTCAAGAAAACAACTTTCCAAATTTCTGCGGACGAGGTACCGATGGGCTCCGGGCCGGCCGGGTATCGGAAGCCGCTGCCCAGCAGGACGACAAAGCTGCCGCCGGCGACGCTGCCAGATTTCGGGTGCACCCAGGAGACCTGGAGAAACGGAACTCATCATCCCTCTAACCGAATTAACTTGAATAGATTTATTAAGTAATTCCGATGGCCTCCAACCTAATGGGAATGGCCTCCAGCCTACTAGCCATTGCCTCCAACCTAGTATTTTTAAACATCCTTCTCAACGAGCTTCGTCTGTGGAGCAACACAGAAGGGCATTGTCTTTTCTGTTCGATAAAAGCAAAGCGGGAGAAGCTGAAGGCCTACAGATTCTAATTGCTCATTACTGAAAGGTCCCCTAGAAAAAATAGTTAACACGAAAACCGAACAGGCTTGGTTCCGGATGTGTGGATCTCCATGGTGGCCTCCGCAGCTCTGGTAAGCGCAAGCCAAGTGCAGAAGCACAGCAGGCACCCGGGGATCCTGTCAGAAAAAAGAGCAAATAATGAGATATCAGCTTCTGAAAGCGAGCTTTTGGGAGATGTGACGAGTGTGAGTCTTTCATGACTATTCTTAGCCTGCGCCTGCTCAATTAAGTAGGCGCCTACTTAATTAAGTAAGGGAGTAAGCTACTGGTTTCTTAAGCTACTACATAGGGACGCAGGATAGCTCACGCTAATGATTTGGTTCCTAAATTTGTTGGGGAAACTTGCTTCTTTGATCCAGCTTCAGGCCGACAAGCATATGCCATGGCAGTTGCAGGATCATACGAGTATCATCTGAAATTGCAGGATTGAGTTTCTGTCAAGCGAAGCTTCGAAGCTTTAAGAGAAGGACTTTGTTCGCAAGTGACGTCCCTTTCCACCGAAATGGACTCAAGCGAGACCACGGCAAGTGGCCTCTTCTGCATCCCATCCGCAGTTTCGAAGTGGGTGCAATGACCCGACCGACCACCGTCACGTCTGCGTGTTTGATCGTTCCTTGCATCATTTCGGTTTGACTAATCTGTTTGAAATCACCTTGGCTTTGGTCGTCTGTTTGAAAGAACACGCTTGAGTCACCTTGGCTTGGAAACGTAAAAAGATTCAGTGTGCTCTTGAGCCAGGCAAGATCCAGCCAGCAAGAACACAAGACGTAAGTATGCACCTGCGGCATGAATAGTAATCAATTGCATCTCAGAGAAAAGCTTGCAACAAAGGAGTTGGTGTCTGCAAGAGGCTGATGCAAAACTGAAAGACTGCCAGGATTCATCACCTCTGACGGAAAACATTCGAAAAGAACTCTTTAACCAATGCGCTTGCATCTGTTGAGACAAATCATTCGTGGCAACGAGGGAAGACCTTGGCGAAAGGATGCCATTCGGGTGGGGACACCGCCAACTGGATGTGGAGCAACTCTGGGGTGACACTGTGTGAAATCCTTCTGAAACGGAAGAACTAATGTCCATCAGGTCTTAAATATCTTACAAATGAGCGTTGCTGGAGTGGCCAGTCAACTCGGCGACCTTTCTCTCACTAACTAAGTCCCTCACAGCGCCATCCGTAGGCTCTCAGACAAGGGGACTGACACGTGACAGGCTGGGAATGGTGGAAAGCCAAGGCTAAGACCTGGGAGATCAGGGCGAAAAGATCGCGTGGACCGTATCGAGGCATTCTGCAAACAGACATATTCTTCGTTTGTGGACGTTCGGATTACTGAATGGCGAGATTTAGTGAAAGTCTTCTTGCGAAAGAAAGTGTTTGTGTTAAAATGCGAGCGGTAGCGAAAGCAAAGAAAGCACACGGCAAAGATTGAGTCGGAGCAGTAGACCCTTACTATCTACAGATTCCATAGAACTTGAAGAAAGTAAATAGTAACGGGTGTGGACACCTCCACAAAAAAACAATTGCTGGGATCCTTGGCATCACTGCCTTGCTAAGTGCTATACCCAGATGGTAAGAGTGGAGAAAGAGGCTGCCGCACCACGGCTCCGCACCAGTTCCATAGGTGGTATCACCTTGCCATCGCATCTATCTGATCATGGTCAGGTTGATGACATGTTTGCATCTTTGACTGCCCAGATTGCAACAGGTCAAGGCAAACTAGGCAAATGGCCAACCAGTGGATGTCCCTCATAGCGAAGGTGAGCGCGAATCTGGTGCCGCCTGCGATAAACCAGTCACCAAATACGCGGACCCCTCAAAAGAACGAAATGGAGTGGTTTGAAGGTTACAAGTTCATGACCATGGCTGCCATGGCTGGGTAATGTTGAGTGGCACAACTCTTGCCACATGCTTCAGCTCTTGGACTTATCACCCCGCTTACGGGCCCCTAACGGACCAGGAATATAAACGAATTGAATGCTGTAAATTGATCATATAACATCATATTAACCAACATTAGAGTTGTTCACCATTTGCTCAAGATTAAGCCATGGCCTCCAACCTACTAGCGATAGCCTCCAACCTAATAGGAATTGCCTCCAGCCTAGAAGTGATTAAGCCTATCGTAACAAAACGCCCCCGGAAAAGGCCTTCCAGTATGTAAACGCACTTGCACCAGGCTCACGGGAGCGTTGCTGGGATCCAAGAAGTGGCCCACCACCAAGACCTGGCCGAGTTGACTAAGTCCTAAGCCACCTGCCGAGTTAGGAAGAACACTCCAAACAAGGACGCTACTAGGGTCTCCTGGCCTTACTACTAGGAGCAAGGACGCTACTAGGGTTCCTAGTAGCGATGCCAGGAGCCCCGTTCGTAGCGTCCGATCGCTCCTGGTAGTAAGGCCAGGAGACCCTAGTAGCGTCCTTGTTCCAAAGAACAAACAAAATACCAATTTGTATGTTCTTTTTGTTCTTATGTTATGTGTCTTTTTAGTTGAGGAAGTTACCTGCGAATAGAAAAACACTCCAAAGCGGGCGACGCTCCAACATCATTGCCGTCATGACCACTTGCCACATACTGCAATGCATTTAATCAGTCATGTTTGCGTCTATGTAGTTATGTTTCCTGATCGGTTCTTTCTTTAAACCTTGAGACAAAATTCCTTTCTTAGGACTTCGTATCAAAGACCTTTCCTCAATTTACCTCCTCGTTGCTGGAGAGAAGCATGTCGCAGGACAAGCAATAATCATGAAGGTCCTCACAAGAGTTCTGCACACACAGGCCTGCGTCTTCGCATCTCGCATACCATGTGCCCCCTCACCTTGCGGTACTCCAGACACGGTCAAAGAAACCACAACACCCCGTCAAAATATTGTTTTTTACATCGCTACTAGGGTGGAGGCCATCGCTCTTAAAGGTTCCCTCGCCAATTATGGTTTTTAAGACGCTGTTTCTGGCAGTTTCTGGGTCGCACTCAACCGCACAACGTGGCTGAATCCGAAACTGTGGTGCCGTTATCTAAAATCGACCATCACACCCGCCTTGCCGAGACATGGACTGGTACTCGCCGTACAGCAACGGGGAGTTCAGCATGTCCACCTCAAAGCATCGCAATAAAGATCTCAAACAAGACAGGTTTCAAGCAATGCAAAGCAACAAATCCCTAAAACCGTTCAAGGTCTCTGTAGTCACTGTGACTGCATGGATATAATGATTCCCATTGCTTGGGCCTGGCTTGACAACCACCCTTTGCAAACGCAAACATACTCCTGCAAGAGTGATGCTGCACTGTGCAAGGTGGTGCAAGGTGCTAAGGCCCATTGAATTCTTCCACAGCCTTGTCATGCGCCTCTGTTTAAGATGTCCACTCATCAGACTGAAAAATCAGTAGCTAGAAGCTACTAGTAACAAGTGCATCGCTACTAGTAGCTAGAAGCTACTAGTAAGCGGCGGGCCCCAAAAAAGTTTTTGTTACTACTAGTAAGGCACTTGTTACTAGTAGCGATGCACTTGTTACTAGTAGCTTCTTGTTACTGCTAGTAAGGCACTTGTTGCTAGTAGCGATGCACTTGTTACTAGTAGCTTCTTGTTACTACTAGTAAGGCACTTGTTACTAGTAGCGATGC